TCAAACTCTAGTCTCACATCACCAGTTGGATGTCTTTGCCTCAATGTTCCATATACATCTCAAACTCAACACGTCCAAAACACAATTTTGCTCAAACATCTGACACTATGCTTGCTAGATGTGGAAATTTCCCTGACTCTTCCAGTTATCTCTAATCCCCTGAACAGGGAGGTGGGATGGACATAGAGTAAGGAGGAGGCAGTACATCTATGATTCTTCCTGGGAAAGAGGGTTTTAATCTCCTAACTCCCTCCATAACCCAACTTTCCCTGGACTTCTCTGCACTTCCAGACACCAACTTCAAGACCTATCACCTATCAACTTGTGCTGTCTCCAGATCTAGGGAAGGATGAGGGGTATGAAGGGCACAGGGCAACTGGAAAGGTGAAGGTTGTTGGAAGGATCTAGGGAATTCCAGGGCTCATGGTTGATCCTGGAGGTGGAGGATATGTCCCTGATTTTGGCCTATAGTTTCCTTTCCACATTTTTATCTTCCCATAATTTAGGTATTAAATTGTATTGTTTCATAACAGTGTTCTGGTAAGGTGCTTTATTTCTCAAATTTTTAGACTAATTTGTGAAGTATGGGTAAAAACTATTCTTTCAGGAATTGATAGACCTCTTGTGAATCTATCAGGACCAAAAGATTTTTCTTTGGTAGTTCCTTTACAGCTACATCTGTTTACTCTTCTGAAATTGAGTTATTTAAGATCTGTCTCTGATCTTCTGATAGGTTGAGTACTTAGGCATTTCTTTTATTTCTTTTATGTTGTCAGTTTTGTTAGCATATAATTGTTCATAGTATGTTCTCATCATTCCCCTTATTTCATCTGGCTTTGCTGTGATCTCCTATCATTCATTTGCTATTTTATTTTCTTCTTTTTTTAAAGTCTGATTAACTAAGGGCTTATCCATTTTGTTTTCTCAAAGAACCAACTTTTAGTTCTATTTATCATTTCTATGTGGGTTTTTTGTTTCTAATTTACCTATTCCCTCTCTAATACTTAATATCTCCTCTTCTGTGCTTATTTTAAGATTTGGTTATTTGTTGGGGTCCTAGTCTTCAAAATGCATATTCAGTTTATTAATCTCCTATTTTATTAATATGTGATTTTTCCCTTAGGACTACTTTAGCTGCATCCCAAATATTTTGATATTTTGTTTCTTCATTATAACTTTTCTTTTCCATAGTTATTAGTTATCTCTGTTTCTAAAATGTGTTCTTTGACCCACTCATTAGTTAAAATTTTATTGTTAAGTCTCCATTTGGGTCTATATCTTTTGTTTGTTGTCCCTGAACCAATTTCTACTTTATTGCATCATGGTCTGTAAGGATGTATGGATTGTTTCTGGAATTTTACATTTGTTTGCAATAACTCTGTGCCCTAGTACTGGGTCAATTTTTGTAAAAGTTCCACATGGTGCAGAGAAATATGTATATTATTTTGCTGTCCTGTTTAGAAGGCACCATAATGCTTTTAAGTCTAGTTTTTCCAGAAATTTCTCCAGTTCTTTATTTCTCTTTTTGTTAGGCTTATCCAAAACTGATAGAGGGATATTAAAGTCTCCTGTTACTATTGTGCTGTTATCTATGTTTACTTGAAGCTCAAGTAATATTTCCTTTTTAAATATAGATGGCAAGGCATTTGGAGTAAATATAAGTTTGTTATTGATATTTATTTATATGTTGTGTATGGTTCTTTTAAGCATAGTATAGTTTCCTTGTTAACTCCTTTTTATTTTGTTTCAATGTTCATTTTTGCTTTGTCTGATGGCATGCTGGTAAATCCTGTTTTTTGGGATTCACTTGATGCATAGTAATTTTTTTTTCATCCCTTCAGTTTTATTTTGTGTTGCCCAGAGGTCACACAGCTAGAAAATGTATGAGGCCAGATCTGAACTGAGGAAGAGGAGTCTTCTTGACTCCAGGCTCAGAATTCTATCCCCTGGGCCACCAGCTGCCCTGAGTGTAGAATAGTCTTATGTTATTCAAATGACCTTTCCTTTGTATTTGAAAGACTTTCTCCTGATCACTTGTGGAACTTGTTTCTGAATTAAATTGTGTCTTGAGTTTTTTCTCCAGAAAAAAAAGCTTTCTTTTGTGTATTATTTTAATGTCTCATTGATGATCTTTTCTTTTATCCTCCCCCTCCTATTTTTGCATCACTCTCATTGGCCACCAACTCTTCCCCAAATAGAAGTCCTTCCTTATAACCAATAAACATGGTAAACAAAACAAATCAACACATTGTCTATGTCTGCAAATACATGCTTCTTTACATTCTTGTAGTTTATTACCTCTCTGCCATGAAACAGGACCCAGCTGACACTAGGTACAGGACCAGGTTCTGTATTGCCCATATGTAGTTCTGTGTTGCAGTTCTAGGGTAAAGTGGATCACTTGTGGTCAGTCACAAGGGAACAGAAGTGTTGGTCACAGGTCCAGGGCAAAGAGGAGTACTAGTGCCTATGGCTGCAGGGGAGGAGGAGCCCTGTCTGAGTAAAGACCAGAGCACAGACCAGGAGACCACACCTCTCTCTGATTAACACCACCTTGGAAGTACCAAAAACTTCCAGACTCCCAGAACCAGCTCTGAAAACAGCAGCACAGAAAAAGCCTGAAGCTTGGAACAAATAAACAGAACCCAACTTTAATAGCATAAAGTTCAAAGTCAAGAAATAGTCTGGAAAAATAAGCAAACAACAACAAAAGAACCTGACCATAAAGAGCTACAGGGAAAATAAAAGACACAAATATAGAAGACAATAATATGAAAACTACAAGCAAAGCTTCAAAGAAAAATGCAAATAGAACATAAGCCCCACAAGAACTTCTGAAGAACTGAAGAAAGAGCTAAGAGTGGTAGCAGAAGAATTAGGAAAGAAATGAGAGTGAGGCAAGAAAATTATGAAAAGAGAATTATCAACTTGATTAAAGAGACACCAAAAATACTGAAGAAAATAACACTTGAAAAAACAAAATTGGCTAAATGGCAAAAGAGGTACAAAAATTCACTGAAGAAAAGAACTTCTTAAAGAGCAGAATTCACCAAATGGAAAAAAGAGTGAAAATAATTCCTAAAAAAATAAAAATAGAAATTTAGTCATATGAAAATCACATATATGATTATAATAGAACACTGTTGAATGCTTTAAGATTTGATAAGCAGGATGGTTTTAGAAAAACCTGGGAAGATTTAGATGGAATGATGCAAAGTGAAGTGAGCACAACCAGGAGAACCCTGTACACAGTAACAACAATATTATAATGATGACCAGCTATGAAATATTTAACTGCTTTGATCAATACAATGATCCAAGATAATTCCAAAGGACCCATCATGAAAAATGTTATTCACCCAAAGAGAGAACTGATGAATTCTGCAGATCAAAGCATAATTTTTAAACTTTCTATGTTTTTCATTCTTTTCTTTTAATAGGGCTAATATGGAAATATGTTTTGCATGACTTCACAAGTATAACTTACATCATATTGCCTGTATTCTTAATATGTGGGGAAGGAGTAGGAGAGAGAGAAAATTTGAAACTCAAGATCTAAAAAAAGAATGTTAAAAATAAAATCGATGAATCACAAAAAAGGTATCCATAAAAATTTTGGAGAAGACAAAAGAAGTCCCTGATGATTTTTATGATGATGATTATCTCATCATATAAACTCCTGATGATCCAGAATTCATCAAACTGGACTTGGAAAACCTTTCCTGAATGCTCCATGAGCATCTGCAGAGTCTTTGCAGGAACATCAGGGTCCCATCAGTGGTTCCCTGAATATTCCAAACACCTTGGGAGGATTAGTTGGTTCAAATATTGCCAACTTTCACAGGGAGATCCATCAATGCAAATATCCACTCCCTGAGACATTGGTCGGCCATAGTTTGGACAGATGCCCATCAAGACAAGGTCCAGAGGAGACATGTAGCTGAGTCATCTCTGGGCAACTGTAGTTAGCTTTTGAGGTTCTTCAATCCTTCTTGACTGTTGTTCAGTCTATGATCATATCCCCTAAAGGATCCCAGGGTGCTTTCCCTTTCAAGTCTTTTCCTGGCTTACCTGGCTTAGCCTGGGAATAGATCAATCAATCTCACACAGTGGAGTTAAAGACCACAAGTAACAAGTTATTAATGCAGCCGCCCCAGAATTCATGTGGAGGACTGATCTGAGGCTCTGCAAAAGTGAAGCCTTTCCCAAATGTTTAGCCTGCCTGGAGCCTTGCTGTGAAGTTGATCTAGGATGTATATCCTGAGGTCCCTCACACTTACCTGAAGATCTCTCCCTGGGCTTTATGACCTCAATGAGTTCTCATGGGCTCAATTCCAGAAACTCTCACCTCACTTCCTGTCACCCTCATGTTCCTCCACCCTTCCTAAGGACCATTCTCTGGAGTCAAGGGGTTTAGGTTCCTTCCTGTGTCACTGTGAGCATCTCAGTGGGAAAATTTTGGTCCTGGAACAAAAGTGACTGTGGTGCCATGTAAGTTTCCATGTTTTCAGGGAATGTGTGCAGGGGTGGGGAAAGCTTGGCAGGAGGATCTCACTCCATTGAATCATAAGAGGGCTACAGGGATATGGGGAAACTTTGGATTGGATTGATGGTTTCAGTCTTCCTATGTATTGGGTAGTGGTGGTAAGTCTCTCTGGCTAACACTATTTTCAGATAGACCCTCTCTCTTGCGCACTTCAGGAATCCTCAATACTATCAATCTCCCCATACCTATGAACCCCTATCTCCCTAGCCTTGGGAATCTTCTGATGCTCTGAGCTTTTCATAATCTGGGAAACCTCTAGACCCAGGGACAACTCCTATGAACCCAGGACCAACTTTAACCCCTGTGACTTCCTGGATCCCACCAACAACCTTGACCTTTTCTGCTGCTGTGGGTCCTTTGTCTCCAATATTCTTCACTACCTAGGTCTGGGGTGGAGGTAGGAAGATGGATTAGGTTTGAGGTGTGAGGGAGTTTAGGGGAATCAAAGCTCTATCTCTCAGGAGGAGGCATGGATGGACTGCCCCTACTTACCTTATCCCCAATTTTGCTTTATTCAGTGGAACAGACCGTGCTGACAGAATCAGGGGGAGGCCCCCAAGAAGCTGGAAAGACCCTGAATCTCAAATGCCAAACCTCTGGTTTCCAGTTCAAGACAAGCAAACTTGGCTGGTACCTTTGGGCCCCTGGCCATTCCCCACTGTGGTTGGCCAGTCTCGATAGTAGTTCTACAGATGCCACTGAAGACCGAATCACCGCCTCCAGGCAGGAAACTGGCAGTCAGATTTTCCTAAAGATTGAGGGCCTGGGCCTCAGAGATTCTGGCCAATACCACTGTGCAAGGAGGGTGGGCAATGGAGATGACACAGACAAGCTGGTCTTTGGTCATGGTACAGATGTGACTGTGGAGCCTGGTGAGTGCCTCTACTATCCCAGTCCTAAGGACATCCTAAGACTTCAGGTCACATAGTCAGTCAGTGTTGGGTCTATACCAGAAACAGGGTTCTCCATTTTCCAGTCCCCTCTTTCCACCATAGTGTACTCTGTGACCATGCACAGCTAACATTCCCACTCTGAGCTGTATTCCCTGGTGATGGATTGTGATAGATCATTAAAGGGCTTTGGGTTCACATCATAGGACTCAAGGACTTGGGACATGTAGCAATGAAATTTTGAGACTTGTCAACACCAGTGACAATCATGAGTTGGGGGAAGTTGGGAAGGGGAAAGGAGACTGTGGTCTAGGGGCAGCAAAGGAATCAGTTGGGGACATAGGAACCAGGCTGAGGCTGGGGTTTGGGGCAGGAAATGGGAGTCAGGTTTGTTTTTGACAGTTGCTTGGTCACATGCATCTGCTCCCCACATGTAGGACCAGGCTGAAATTAAGGTGGTGGGCAGGAAATTTGGGGCTAAAGTTTGTTTTTCACAGTTATATGCTTGTCATATGTGTGTTTTCCCACATCTGGGGCTAGGTCCAGATAGGGGACAGGAAGCCATCATTTGATTGCAGGACCTCGAGCTCCCCTGTCACCCAGTGTATTCTTGGTGAAAGGTCAGAATGCTGTGGCCTGCCTGATCAGGAACTTCTACCCCAAGGAACTCCATGTGTCCCTGGACTCCCCTGCACCTTTGATCTCAGCCCAGGCTCTTACTCTGGTTCCCATGGCCAATGGCACCTACAGTGCTGTCCAGATTGGCAGGGTTGGTGAGAATGATACAGTAACCTGCTCAGTGAAGCACCTTGGGAAAGAGATACGTGTATCCCACGAGCCAGGTATGATTAGCACCTGTCTAACAGACGCTGGGGGGAAGGAGGTGGAAAAGAGGAATGCTTCAGTCTAAAAATGCGTCCTTGGTTCACTGAAGGACAGGGATAAAGGCTGCATCTGGGGAGGGGTATTATAAGGTGCTAAGTAAAGTTTTAAGCTAGGGGAAAGGGAGGATGGAAAGGAGTATCCTAGGAAAAGAGATCATAATGCTAGAGATAGTAATTCTAATCTGGGGACTAGGTCTTGGATTGAAAGGGGCAGCTAAGATCAGGACATGGTCCTGGTATGAGAAGGTGGTCCCTGACATTGAGGTGGGGCTGTGCACTGGAAAGGCCAGTCCTGGGCTGACTAAGGATCAGAGCTGTGTCTGAGGATGTGTTTCTCGTTTCAGATCATACTGGACCAGATCCTGGGATTGCCTCTGAGAAGAAACTGTCTTGCCCTGAGCAGAATCTCATGGGTGAGTTTAACATTCATGGTGAAAAGGCAAAGCTAATGAGATTAAAGCTGAAGCCTCATAGGAAAGAAAAATTCAGTAGTGACCAGAAGGGGAAACTGACAAAGCCTAGAAGTTACCAAGAAGCTAATTTAGCTTTGATCATGTAAGAAATAAGTTTCTGATTATTAGGGTTTTTTAAACGTGGAATGGGCTGTCTGAGGAGGCCATGGGACCTCATTGAGGCACTTTCAGCAAAGGCTAGATGAGACCATTTAGGGGTATGTCATAGAAGGAATTCCTTCTAGGCACAGACTGGACCAGTTGGCTACTCAGGTCCTTTCTAAGTGAAGTTTTCTGTATCTATAATCCTGTTAGTTTCTGTTTGTCCTACTTTGATAATGGGATAGCTCAGGGTTCAGAGTGACAATCACCCCAGGTATGGAGTGTGTGATATCCCATGGTTTGAGTGTATCATAATTCAGGGTTCAAAGTGTCTAATGTTACACAGGGCTCAGGAAATGTGATATTCCATAAACTGAGCTGAGTCCTCCCTTGTCCTTCGTAATTCACACTCTCTCACGGTAATTGTTCCAAACAGCCTGTACTCTCCTCTTCATACCCTTGTCTTCCACAGTTGCAGCAGATACCTTACTTCAAATAGGGCCTGTTATCATTTCCTTTAATCTTGTTCCTTCTGTTTTTCCATCACTATTTCTGTCACTGTTGCATTCACTTATCCCATGCTAGAATCATTCGAGTTATTTTTGATTCTTCTACCTCATTCAAATTTCATATCACATCCAATATATTCTAACAAATATTTATTGTCCACCTACTTTGTGCAAGATGTGAGGGATTCAGTAGAAAAAAAATGAAAAATAGTCCTTGCCCTCAAGGCGCTTACATTCTACTGGGGGGCTAGATACAATATACAAACAGATAAGTATTTCCATGATTATTTGAAGAGGGAAAGAGCACCACTAAATAAGGAGATGAGGCAAGACTTCCTGCTTGAATTCATGCAAGAGCTGAACCTTGAAGGAATCTAGGAATTCTAAGAATGGAGGTGAAGAGTGAATGTATTCCAAACTGGGGGTGTGGTGAGGGGAACTGGGAGATAGAATACAAGTTTGAGGAACAGCAAATAGGCCATATGGTTGGAACACGGAACATGTGAAGGGGGAATAATGTGCATTAAACATAGAAAGGTAGATTAGAAGCAAATTGTGAAAGATTGCAATTTATCCTGGAGTCAATAGAGAGCCACTGAAGATTCTTGAGCTGGGAAAATGACATGGTCAGACTTGTGTTTTAGGAAGATAATTTTGACAACTGTGGAGAGGATAAATCTGAGATGGGGAGAAGCTGGAAGCAGGAAGATCAATTAGGAGGTTGTTGCCATAGTTTAGCTAAGAAATGATGGGACCCTGAACCAGGGTGGTTCCTGCATGAATGGACAGAAGGGAGACAAAAAATACAGGATTGAAAAGACTTGATGATGGATTGGATATGTGGGGTGAGGGATGAGAAAGAAATTAGGATGGTATTAAGGTTGTGAATCTGGCTTACTAGGATGGTGGTTCTTTAAAATGAGTGGAGAAGTTTAGAAGAAAGGTAGGCTTAGAAGAAATGTGATGAGTTCCATTTTGGTCATGCTCAGTTTGGAATGCCTAGGATATACCTAGTTCAGGTGTGAAGAACCTGCAGCCTTGAGGGCACATGTGGCCCTCTAGGTCCTCAAGTGTAGCTCTTTGACTGAATCCAAACTTCACAGAACAAATCCTTTCATTAAGGGGATTTGTTCTGTGAAGTTTGGATTCAGTCAAAGGGCTGCACTTGAGGACCTAGAGGGCCACATATGGTCTCATCCTAGTTGGAGTCAGAAGATCTAAATTTGAATCTCATCGATGATACCTATTAGCTAAGTGACCAAGGGCAAGTCACTCAAACTCTCTGAATCAGTTTTCTCATTGATAAAATGGCAGTAATAAGTGTAGTACCTACCCCATGGTGTTTTGGTGAAAATCTCTTGAGATTTTGTGTAGATTGTTTTGCAAACCTTATAAGCACTGCATAAATGTTGGCCAGGATTAATGTTTCTATGGCTTAAGGTAGGCCCCTAGAATCCAGCATGCCTCCTGTTGACCTTGACCATTGCCTCCTTCAGAAGGACCTGAGCAGGGTAACAAGCTACTCCTCAATGTGATGGGCCTGAGACTGCTATTAATGAAGACTGTGGCCATCAATGTCCTCTTCACCACCATGGCCTTGATCTTCTGAGGTAAATGTCTAGTTTTTGCCTATCTTCCATTGCTTCTGGATTCTCTCAGATCATTAATCCCAGACTCCTTTTTGTCTCCTCAGATTCTTCTCCATATGTCCAGCCATAGCTCAGCCTCACCTGTTTCCTCAGTCTCCATTCTGTCCCCTAAGATTCTTCTCTGTCCCTCAGTCCCCTCTTTAGTCCCCTTGCTGTACAGTTGGCTCGTTTCTCACAGAATCCTCTCTGACCTGTCAAAATTTTTCCATGGATTTCTCTTCACTCATTATGCCCCATATGCCTTTCAGCCTCCTCTCTGCTCTGGTCTCTTCTCTTTCCTTTCAGATACCTCTTTACCTCCATCAGTTTCACTTCAGGTTCCATTTCACCCTGGTATCATCTCTGCCCCTCGGTATCTCTTCCATGTCATTGTCTCTCTTTCTTCTTGAGACTTGACCTTGAGGGAAAGGCTAATGGTCAGGGCAATGGGTTTGGCATCTGACTCCCTGATTTTTGACTTCTAACTTCTGCTTTTCCAGGAAGAACCTGAGGAAGAATGTACAAGAAGTTGCCACTTGATTCTCAATCTTTCTAGGGACCCCAGAATTACCTCTGGATAACCTCAAGACAGCTCCAGAATGACCTCTTGATAATCTTAAGATAACTGCAGAATGACCCCAAGGACCCATAATTATCCTAGTTACATTCAATTGCCTTTGAACTGCACACTCTTCATTCTTGGGTCTATATTCCTCATGATAAACTATTCCTCACTCCTTTAGTCCTACAATAAAGACAAGAAAGCCTTGCTGTGCTCTGGGGTTCTATGTATCATGGTGGGGTCTTTGAAGGCCAAGTCCATTTGAATCTTTCAGCTTGGTCTACTGTGATACCACACTCACTCCCCACCTCCACTATCTTCTTTCTATTGGAGGCTTTGTTTGAGGCTGACAAGGGGATGAACTCATGCTAATGGGAACCTAATCATGGGTGACAACAGGAGCCAAGAGTGAGATCATGTGAATTAATTGGAGGATGATGATGATGATGATGATGATGACAATGATGATGATAATGATAATAATAATAATAGCTAGCATTTATATAGCCCTTTAAGGTTTGCAAAGTCCTTTACAAATATCTCATTTTATCCTCAGAACAGTCCTAGGAGATAGGTGCCATTATTATCTCCATATTTGGAAACTGATGCAAACAGACTGTTTCAGAGTCACACAGCTAGTAATTGCCCAAGGTCAGATTTGAACTCTTCCCTTCCTGATTCCAGATCCACTACTGTGCCATGTAGCTGCCTCTGCAAGCTTCTCAGGGTGGAGACCTGCTGGTAGAAAGTGTATTTCAACATCTTCCCTGGAAAGGTCACTGTGCTTCCTCGTAGAGTCACTTTCAGAGCTAGAAAGTGGTCATAGCTTAGTGGTCATTCAGTTGAACCCATACCCAAAAGAATCACCTCTATAATCAGTCCAGTAAGTGGTCATCTTGCCTGCTTAAAGACATTCAGTAAGGGACAACCTGTTCCCTCATCAGCCAATTCTGCTTTTGTATAATTCTAATTGTTAAGAATTTTCTCCTTCTATCAAACCTCAAATTTCCATTTCGCATCTCCTACTTTGCCATCTCACATCAAAAAGAGCAAGTCTAGTTATCTTTCCATATGATAGCCCTTAAAATAATTGAACATTAACAATACTGACACTTCCTAATTTACAGAGTGGCTATGAGGAAGCTGCTTTTTAAACTCTAACTTGCTACAGAAATGAGAATGATCTCAGGGTTTGATATCTGTCCTGGGCTTCTGATTCCCGTTGCTCATCGCTCTTTGGATGTTTCTAGCTGGATATCATTACAGCACTTCAAGTTCAATGGGTCCAAGTCTAAACTGATACCTTCACCCTCAAACCAGCTCTAGATCTTGTATGATTTAAGCAGAAAAATGAAGAACTATCACAACCCAAGTAGAAATGTATATCTTAACTAGGCGCGCACGAGCGCACACACACACACACACACACACACACACACACACACACACACACAC